CTCACTGGCAGTTCCCGTCCAACTAATGCAAGGCTCCGTTGCCAACTCTCGCAATTTAGGCTGGACAACCTGGTGCTGTACCGCAAAATTTACCATCCTGCCGGTAAGCGCTGGGTTCCCATTCTACCCCGATCGCTTCGGTCCGAAGTCCTCAGAGCGCTTCATGACCATCCGACTGCTGGTCACCTTGGTTACCATAAAACCTACGATCGCCTTCGAAGTCGGTTTTATTGGTCAGGCATTACCACTAGTGTAGCTCAGTACGTCGGGTCCTGCACTACCTGCCAATGTAGAAAACTACCAACATCTGCTCCAGCCGGTACACTACAGCCTCTTCCGTGCCCAGCCACACCAATCGAAGTTGTAGGCGTCGATCTTTACGACCCCCTTCCAGTCAGTGCTGCTGGAAACCGGTTGATAGTAACAGCCGTTCACCATTTGACGCGCTACGCCGAGACGGCATCCGTCACTACTGGTTCAGCTTGTGAAATTGCCGATTTCATCCTTCGAGCCTATATACTGCGTCATGGTGCTCCACGTGTATTGCTCAGTGACCGTGGAAGGGCCTTCCTTTCACAACTAGTGAACGAACTTCTTCACACCTCTGGCACAACTCACAAGACTGTCTCTAGGTATCATCATCATCAGCCTGACTACGTCCACTGCAGGACAAAGGCCTCTCCCATGTTCCGCCAGTTAATCCGGTCCTGTGCCTCTAGTAATCATCCCCAGACTAACGTACTCACTCGGCGATTCCACCGCACTTTTGCTGACATGATCGCCACCTATATTCAACCAGACCACAAGAAGTGGGACATAGTTCTAGTATTCGTCACTTTCACCTACAACACGGCCATTCAGCGGACAACCGGCTACTCACCATTTTACCTAGTTTAAGGACGCTCCCCTATTTCTTTCCTGGACGTCTCTTTCTTTACCTGCCAAGCGGACTCATCTCCATCCTCTTCAGAGGAATACATTTTACGACACGCACAGTGGCGCCAATGTGCTGGTATAAACACTGAAGCCCGACAGCAAGACAGAAAGCTAGTTTATGATGAATCGCATCATGCTGTATCCTTCCAACCTGAAGACGAAGTGCTCCTTTTGACGCCTGTCGCACACCTGATTTGTGTAACAAATTTCAGCCACGGTTTATCGGGCCGTACACAGTTCTTGCAGAGACTTCACCAGTGAATTATCGCGTGATGCCACTTGTAGCCCCAGCAGATCGCCGTTATCGAACTACAGAGGTCGTCCACGTCTCCCGTATGAAGTCCATCATGCAACGTTCTTTGTCCCCTTGACTTTCCGTGGCCAGGCTGGCCGCTTTCACGTGGGGGGAATTGGTGTGGGCATTTAGTATACCCATCCTCTTCACCTGTACATTATCATCATTATCATGTGTTGCTCATGCATCCTCATCGTTGTCGCATAGCATCATCATCTTGGTTCGTTCATCGTAGCTGTCGGCTGCCGGTTCCTCGTGCCTAATAAAGGTCATTCAAACCAAGACTTCATAATACTACTTCTTGTTTGTATTGTTCAAGATTCCAGATACAATCTAAAGGTAAAGTCCTTCTTAGTAGCTATGCCGCGTGCCTTAGCCTTATCTCCTGGTTTGAGGCTTGTGCATGTTCGGCGAGGGCATTAGATGACACATTCTCACTTTTCAAATCGTTACTGTGCTGTTTCAGTCATCGCTCGAAGTTCCCAGTCACCAAATTCACAATTGCAGTTCACGCACGAACCTTTTAGATTATGAAAATACTTTTCGCAATTTGTCTTTCACCTTGACAAGAGAGCATTTTAGCTTGTGCGTGAGTGCATGAGCTACTTGTTTGCCGTACTTGCGCAGAACATGGGCCGAAGTCCCACTCGAGCCAGACACATAGGGTATACTGAACTTTTTCGAGCATTGTGATGGGGCTGTGGAAGCTACAACTTTCGTTCAACATAAGACTTAAAGGAGTCTGGGTAGTCACTTCCCCACAGGTTCCGCTGCACACACCCAGTGTCAGGCCATACATAGGTCAACAGGCAACTAGCACCTAAGAAATTGTATATCAGTTTGCATTTAACCTTCTGGGAAAATGGTTTCGTTGCAGTAAAAGAGGGCTAAGCCGTGAAAACACCTACCCAGGAGAGAAATCTTCACTGCTGCGAAGCCTTACTTCAAGGTTAAAGAAACATATTACCCTAACATCAATTCATAATTTTGCAAGTGTAAAAGCTTTTGTACAAGCCTATATGCTCTAATTATAGCAAAGTTTAAAAAACCTAGCAAGTTTCACAGGTTATCATCGAAAGTAAAATTTACTACTATTCAAAGTTCAGTGGCCTGCGCCAACTGGAAAGTGCTGCACCATACTGCTTTGAAAGGGTCTTTTATGCCTAATTTGCACCATTGCTGCGCCACACGGTGGTTTTCGAACAGAAATTTTGGCAGCACACACTGTGAGTCGCCACCTTGCTTTTGTGCTGCTGGGTTTTATACATTTGCGCTACTGCAAAAGCGCGGAATCGGCTGCTCAATTACTCAGACTTTTGCACGATTGCCGAGGCGCCTCTTTTGGTAATCATTGGCAATGAACGAAGGTGATGTGGCGACTACCGTAAAGTGCGCCAGTATGACTTATCGCTGACGAAAAGCCTACGTGTGTGATCTAGTGCCGCTTTAAGCCTGATGATGCTTTTGATAGTCGGCGACTACCCGAGGGTGCTGAGGTGCCAAACGCTGCCGCTTGAATTGTTGAGCGGCCCGTGTTCAGCGTGCACCGCTTCACAGAAACGAAAGCAGCTAGCTGTTGCAAAGTTGAGTGTTGTAAATCACGAGCGTCGAGACAGCAAATGTGCCACACGCTTTCATGAAGCGACAGCCCAAACGCACCTCCGTTTGCTGACAGGACTGCTAGAGCATTGCTTGCAGAAAGCTCGCACTGTCACGTTAACGCTACAGGCTTCTCGCTGCATCTGTGCAGGGTCTGAAGCGGAATGGGCGCATGCAACTAGCCAGTAAATGATCTGCTCCCTGCGACCGTACCGCATTTAAAAACGAGACCGTCAGTTTTCGCTTAGTAGCAGATCGCGGTGCACGTTTATTGCGGACAGCAGATTATGTTCGTTTTGTCGCTATGTCGGTTGCTGTGTTGGCTGCATATTCTGGACTCTGCAGTAGTTTCAAAATGCTCCTTGGTGTCACTTCCTCTATGTTTAGTGTCGGCCACTGCGTGCCATTGGACGCTCTTGTGAGAATGTCAATCATTTCTGAGCGTTAGCAAAAAGAAAAAAAAAATGGCTTCGTGGTGGGCACTTTGGGCAATATTTGCTGTGGCACTGTTTTTATTCCTTCTCTAGCAGTGATCGTGCACATGGAGAAATGCAAATTAGAGCTGGGTCATAGGTGTGCGCATGGGGTGTGGAGTAAGGGAGCACAAAGCCAGCCCCATACATTGACATTAGGCAGGGAGTGAGAAGGGGATGCAAAGTCAGCCCGTACCTTGACGTACTAGAGAGGGAGGGCTGCAAAAAAAACCTTCCCCCCCCCCCCCCCCCCAATGGACGCTCACGTACAGTCGCATTCCCGGCAGGTTCTCGCCTTGTATGTGCGCATTTGCATTTGCATTTTGACCTTAAGGAGGTTTTACTGTAACGAGATTTGAATGTCTTTGCGTGAGTGCATGTGTGTGTGCACTGCAATGCACTTCATGCTGCAGCTAGCTTGTTGGTGCAATATCTTTAACTATCTTATTTCACCACTTCTGTACATAATCCTACATTCCTTTATTTATTTTTTGTGCTTATATTGTGGGCTTGCTGCTTTCTGTATAAATGATTATGGAAGTTGAGGGAACATTAAGCAAAATAAAGCTAAATTTTCTTTCTCTGTGTGTGTCGTAGAAAGCCCATGTGTGCTCCAAACGCTGAGGTTGCTGCTCCCAAAGCCAACTTTGCCTGCTCCAGTGGCTGATCCGAAATGCTAGAAGTCATTCCTACCACTGAAAGTTGTTTCCACTTCCTTCAAACAGAAAGTATAAAATAAAAAATGCATTTGCACAGGCCTTGTTTCAATTCTGACAAAATTATGTGCAGTTTAGTCAGGTCATCACAGATATGTCCGATTTTATGGGTAATTTTTGATATATACCATTCCGATTTGGTTCTAAGTTATTCAGCCAAATTCACTATTTGCTTAGAATTTACTTCAAACCTAAAATTCACTATTGGCATGAGCAGAGTATTCATCCAACAACCTTAAGATTTGGCTTTTCCGTTTTTTTTTTTTTTTGAACGAAGTAAATAGAGGGCGGCTGACACTAGCGACACAAGGCTGAAACTACAGCAAAGCTAGTGTCTGAGCCAGTTTTTTCAGTCTTTGCTAGTGATATTTTTTCAAATAGTTTTTGCAATTCAATTTGATTCGCACCATAATTTGACTATTCAGGCTTCCAGAATGAAACTGTATGGTCAGTGTCAAATTTTTCTGACTCTTTTAAGGGCTGAGAAATTATTTTAAAAATTGGGTGGTCAAGAAAAACAAATTCATACATTTCCACTCCACTCAAGTGTACAAACCACCACAGCCACATTGGAAATAGCGTTAATGCCTCCCAGCATCGGGGATTTTGGCTCATGCCCAAGCTTTCGTAAATACAGTCAGCACCTGCCGGGAACCCTGCTTAACTAAGTAAATTATTCGACCAAAATCTGTATTCGCTCTGAACCTAAAATTCACTATTCACACAAGTTTAGAATATACCAAAAACTGTTTCTGAATTATCGTGTTTTACGGGATCATACTAGCAGGTGAAAGCTGAGCACAACTCTATTGGGTCATTTTTTTCGTTTCCCATTGTAAATGTTATGGCTGAGAAACCCTGTGAAACGGAATGGTACGAATGAGGTTCTTCGTTGTCATGCAGCCGGTGTTTCTCTTTTTTGTCCTCGAGTGTCAGAGTGGTTCGTTCCAGGCATTTTCTAAAACATTGCTGATGATGCAGGCAGCGCAGCCTTGGACGCAAGCTGCATATACTGGGCATCACCACCGTGGGTGCGCTGGCATCGATGACCTGTGCACAAGCACTCCAGCTGCCCGTGCGAGCTCCACGCGTGGCGTCTTTGCGCAAGGCCCTCGAACAGTACTCGATGCCTAATGAGGTAAATCGCACCTATTTATTTAGGAGGGGTTTGTGCTCGGGAAGCAGGCAGGCCTCCGGACCAATGCAGTACAGTATTGAGCGTACTTGCACATCTGGCTATGCTTGGGTCCATCCCAAAATCACTGTTGTGGCACATTCACAAAGTGAAAGAGGGCCAACGGCTGCAAGTTGATGTCGTACTGTCTTGGTGGCTCACTGTGGTGCCAACCGGTTGTGGCAAGACTTTTTAAAGCCGGGGGCGTGCAACGCCATGAGGCATGGTCAATACTGCGGAGAATGCCAACATAGGCCAACGAAATATGACACATGCTTTTATAGCAGCCAAAAAAAGAGAGCTCAACTCTGGCAGTCTCGTCACTCAAAATTTGGAAATACTTGAAACGAACATCTACTTTACCTTGTGTAACCTGCCTAATCTAGTTGTACGCAGTGCACAGCTGCTGCACCATGAAACCGCCTCGTCAGTACCGCGACGAAACACACTTCAGCACTTAGGTACAGTATGGGCCGCTTATGATGTAAGTTGCAGAGGTCGTGAATATTCGCATCATAAGCGATACCGCACTACAACCTAAATGGTCTTTTTCAAGGGCCACACTTGCGCAGAACTTCTTGAGTATGCAGCCTCGTGTTTCCAATAATGTAAGTACTGCATGTGATGCGTGGTGCTTACAATCATCGGATTTTCTCAAAGTATAAAAAAATTTAGCATTTAATGACCCACATTTTCAATTAAATGAATCTAACAAAAGAAAGCACCATCGCGAAATTTCGCTTGCTGCTTCTCAGACTGCCTCAATTATGCACTTTACACGGAAAGTTATGTCGAATCAGGTTTGAAACTTCACGCGCTAAGATACCAATCATTCGGTTTCATAGTCGCCCAGCCAATTTCAAGACATCGCAATCCAATCGCCAGCAACCATTCGACTGCTACACAAGCACCCTCATTTTTATTTACGATTGTATCCCTTCCCTTCAATTGCAGCCGCCACACATAGTTTCGTGCATTCCATTCCAAACTGCAACTTATATAGCAAGTGACCGTTATCAAAATGCAACCAATCCTGATTAGGCCTAGCCTGCCATGTTATGGTGGGAAGTTTCTCCGAAACATGAAATCGAAAAGACTGCACTCAAGCGCTGAACCAAGGACAGCATACGTGATATGAAGTTCGCGCTTGCGGCCAGGAGATCAACGACAAAAGAACACCAAGCTTTTGTAAGACCGTGCACTGGCAGCAAAAGTGAAAGCTCGCATCATAAGGCCGTAAAAGTTTTAAAATTTACGGATGTGGTAGCAAACAGAATATCTGTAGTAAGCTCGATAACAATGATGCTTTTCCCAACATAAGGACGTGATTGTGCATGACATGTTCAGTTGCGTTTGGCCGGCACCTAGCGGCCTGAGCCACGCTAGTGAAGCTAGTACACTGTAGCTGCATCAGCACTGGTGCAAAGACTTATCCGTTGCTTAAGGGGAGATGCGGGTTGAAAAATGCGAGTTTTTTTTCAAAATTACCAGTTTTTAATTTTTACCTGTTTTGATAAGATTAGTACCTGTATTGTTATGAAAAAAAATACAGGGTCGAGATTTAACTGGAAATGCTTTAAAATTGCATCTAAAGAGCACAAGGTGCCTGTTAAAAGGTCCAAAGTGTACAGTCTACGTGCAGCTTGCCACCGATAATGCGCCGCCGCTCGCCATTGTTGATCGCATTAGCTGAAGAGTCGAGCCTCACTATTCAAGCAACAACAGTTTCCCTCGCTGATGCGACGCAAGAAATTATAAAAAGAAGCACACTTTTGTGCGTTTTTCGAGCGTCGCGACTGGCTTATCACGTGGTACGTATCGGGGACCGCCATTGGCCGCTGCGCGCCTTTATGTGCTGTGAAGCCTATTTGCGGGGTCTATGTCTTGTTGAGCAGCGCAGCTGAACATTGCTTTTCTCATGTAATTATCTCCGTTATGAAGGAAGAAAGCATTGCTCGCAAGTGAAAGCCGTTGTGCGGCTTTCACTTGCGACCAATGCATAAAAATTAAACCATCTTGCGATCAATGTCAAACTTGTGGTCAATGCATCAAAATCAAAATCAATGCATCAAAAGTCATTCACACCCGTCAGCCGGAAAGTTCATGATGCAACAATGAACCACGTCGGCACCAATCTTGCGAGATTGAAAGAGCTCGCAATGAGAGAACTTAGCGAGGACGACATCGCCATTATGTACGAGGGTATGTGGCACAAACATGGCCGTAAAATGGCATGACCCTGGACTTAGTTTGTATTTCGCAGTCCTGTCGAACTTCTTCCTAGCTTGAATTTGGCACAAGGCTCTGCCAGATAGAGTGGAAGTTTGGCAAGCGTTTCATGGCCCTGTCTGTGCCCGAAATGTCTGTGAGGAGTCGGCTCGAAAACGCCGAGAGGGACAAACTCATGGGGCTGGCGTATTTTAGTCGCAGTGGCCACTACAAGAAGGGTTGTTCTTTTTGGTTTGCAAATTTCATCAAATTTAATGATATCTTTCATAAATAAAAACTTGACTTCAACTTAAAACTTGTTTTTCTCAAAACACAAATTTCGTCATTTTTTTTTCAATGTGCCTCTCTTTTTTAGGGCACTTCTAGTGCTCGGATCTGCATGAAATTTTGCCCAAATTTTTTTCCAGAGTATAGCGAATGCAATTATCTAGTTAAAGTTTCAATACTTTATTGTATACTAATAAAATTCCATGTAAACCTTTACTAGGATAGGTGACATATGGACTTTTTACGTCTTATTTTTCACCCATAATACATATTTTGTACGTGCTTCCTAATTAGTTATTTGAATTCTACACTTTATTTAAAAATTATGAACTATAAATAGTTACAAATTACGGAAGTTCAGAAATAAAAAGAGGGGGGGCAAGAGGGTTAAAGTTTTCACTTTGTCGTTTCGCAGAGATAAAAGTAAGCAACTTGCCAGAAAACTAATTATATATTTGAAATCAGCTTAAAAAGTTCAGTAAACAGCTCAAGTTTAATTTCTCTAGGGTGAATATTTAAAAAAAAGTGTCTTCGAGTAGCATCTCCCCTTAAGCAACAGCTTTCCTCCTTTACGCTGCAAATCTGCGCAGTGTGCCGCAGTCCTTTTTTTTTTCTCCCTTCGTTTCCGGCACTATATGCAGTTATAAAAGGTCTACACTGTTGTCTTTCTTTTTTTTCTTCTTTTTAATAGTGCCTTGCACCCTTCTAGTATTTGGATTTGCTGCAAAATTATTTACCATTATTTGTCATTCGCTTTGTATCAAGAAAGTGATACTTGCATAAGCCCACTCTAGAACATACACATAACAAGCATTATATTTTCTAGGGCTGAGGATAGGAGGGTGATCGACCCCTATTTAAAAATATGCTCAGTCGGAAAAATATGTAATGGCCTAGTTGTTGCTTGCTATGACAAAGTAATAGAACGTCTTCAGGAGCTAGACGTTGCATTCTAGTGAACTATAGCCGCCGACCCATTTTCCCGGCAAGGACCGCGAGGAGTCCGAGAAATTGAACAGTTCGAAAAAATGGTGATGCCGTGAACATGAAGTTTATTAGAAAAGCCTAAAAAAAATCCCCAATAACACTATGCTTTATGCTGCTTTTGGGGACGAGCAAATTTCCATTTGGAAATTCCTATTTGGGCTACGGTAGCAAAGTCCTATTTGGACTACGGTAGCATCATTGGCAAGTGCGTTGGCAAATTCCTGCCACCGACTGTTGCGGGCGGCAATGTTGGTGGCTCCATGGGACCAAGCAAACAAAACTTGATGCCGGTCCCAAATGGATGCATGCAACATCTCGCTTGTTTGGTGAGATTTAACAACTCAGTCTGAGCTTCTTTTACCTGCACCGACAGCAAACAGTACGTGAGTTTCCAGCGTTCTGCCACCATCAAAACACCCCCCGCAGGGGCGCCTGCGCAAGTAGGCGGTTGGTGTGTAGCGACACCACGGACCCGAGCTAACGGGGGAGTTTTGACTCCCTCCCAAGCCTAGCCGTGCGTGGCTTTGCTGTGTCCGGGGAAAAGGGGATCCTGGGGGTTGAGCCGACGCTGGGTGATTGGACCATTAAGGCCCCCCGGCAGAGGCAACACACCCCTTTGGCCCCGGCTTCACGTAGACAGCACCCCTGAGCTGACCCACCCAGGGGAAATCGGCAGTCGCCTTTTCCTATCTCTCTCTCTCTCTACATCTTCGTCTTTCTTTCTTTTTTAGCTTTCCTGTTTACTTCTCTCTTCTGCTTACTTCCAATTTTCTCGGCAGCAAGGGTTAACCCTGTACAAATAGCCTACCTTGGCCTAGGCGCATTGGTTTATAGCAGGGTTGTACGGCTGACGTCTGCAAGCTTTCAGCATCCGCAAACTTGCAGCGTCCCCTTGTTGGGCTCCGTGGTGGGTGGCCGCCAACGCTGCTGAACAACATACAATTAGCATGCAGAAAGCATTCCCTTTACTTAGTGATCGTGCCTCCTCAAAGCGGGTACACAACGAAGGTATCAATTTTTTCATCCGGCCAAGACAAATGTTTTCTCATTTCCACGTTATACACTGCGAAAAAACTAACAAGCAAGCCAGAACTGTATCCCCCTTCGTAGTGGCTAGATGTTTAACCGAAACTCTCGGTGCTGGGTACAAGGTTACCAAGATGGCCAGCGGAGATCTACTCCTTGAGATACGTGACAAAGATCAATTCGATAAACTGAACACCCTCACAACGTTCGGAGACACACCCATCAGTATTACGCCACACAGGTCCATGAACTCATCTCGCGGGGTTGTATCGGACGCAGATTTGCTTGACCTGACCGAAGCTGAACTTCTGGAAGGATGGAAGAGCCAGAACGTGACAAACGTACAGCGTATTAAGATAAGAAGAGATCAAAAAGAAATACCAACCAAACACTTAGTACTGACCTTTGCTTCGAGCGATTTGCCGGAAACCATTCAGACTGGGTATACAAAGACA